TACCTGCTGTAAAAGTCAAGGGTCCCCTTGCTGCTGTACAGTGTCTGCCCCACTGAATAAACAGTGAAACAGGTGGTGAGGAGGAGGGAGGTTCCCCAGCAACTCCAGAATAAACTGAAAGGCTACGGCTCTCAGGGCAGAGCCACCACGTCAGAGCAACAGGCCTTTTCATTCCTCTAATCCTCCACCTATACAGATGATGTAGGGCCAGAAAAGACGACTCTGTTATCCAGACAGGCTCCTGTGCTTCGCAGAAGTGTTCACAACATAGAAATCATTGACTCGTGACAATCAGACGTTAGGAAAGAACAGGTAGGTCATCTAGTCTGCCCTTCGGGACCAGTGCCAGATTGATTTTAGCAGTCCATTGCCTTGTGTCCTGTGCAGTCTAGTGGAAAATGTCCCAAGCAATGCGGCTTCCACCTCTTCCTTTGCGATGTGCTAACACTGTCTAATGGTGCTTATGGTGGGGATTATTTACTGATTGCCAGTCTGAATTTACACTGGTTTAGGTGCTCAGCTACTAGGGCACTGGGGTCTCTATACGGTTGATTGAGAGTCCCCATTACTCCTATTCCTTGTCTACACACAAATGTTGCACTATTTTATCTTCTACCAATGTAGCTAATCCATTGCATTAAATTGGTTTTGTACATTCACACTGTCACAAGCCATATCGCAGTGCGAGGCTTGTGTCTACACAGCATTCTGCTCACATAGTTTGAATGGCATTGCATTGTGGGTAATTATCTCCCAGGGTCCTTTGCACTGTTTCCAGCCGCAAAGCCTTCTGGACAGTTATCACAATGGACCGTGGGTGGCCTCCTTATTTCCTCTCTTTCCTAGAACTCATTTGATTCCTGTGCCATTTTCAAGCTGACGAGTATTGCAATCCTGTGTGTGGAATGAGAAGAAATCAGATCCTCTGGTATGCTAGCTAAGGTACGTATCTGTTACTGTCGCTTCTGAGTGCCTCACAATCATCTCCTCTCAACACCCTGATGAGGGAGGGAAGTGCTGTTACCTCTATTTTAAGGATGGGGAATGGAGGCACAGAGAGAGACTAAGTCCAGATCCTTAAAGGTACTTAAGCGTTGCGTTACTGACTCGTGCAATGCCTAACCATTAGAGCCCAGTGGGATTTTCACAAGCAGGCCAGCTGAGTGGGGAACTGGCTAATCTAGTCAGGAGCGAAATGCTGAGGAGACGGGTGGGGAGAAGAGAGGGGCTTAGGTGCCTAAACTGGTGACCTGGTGCACCTAGCTCATGGTGCTTCAACTGGTGGCCTACAGGGAGAAAACCAGCCCATGGGGATGATTTCGTCTGGCCCCTGAATATGTTCGCCATCCCAGAAGAACTACTCTACAAAATGGTGTCCTTTGCACAGTGTGATCTCTCACTCACCAAACTTACAGTGTAACGCTGCATGGAGGACAATGATGGGCCAGAGATAGGTGCCTCCTTCTGCTTGGTATCTGCAGTCACAAACTCTCTCCTGGAGTTAGGCTTCTAAGCAGAGTCAGTGGCTTAGGTAGCCCATGCCATAGAAGCCAAGACTCACTCTCTTTCAGTCTGCTGCTCAATATCTTTCTCACGCTCACACTATGTTTCCCTGAGCTCTGGGGCGTCCTTTCTGATGATGGTCTGCTGCCCCCTCCCCACCTAACCATAGCCTGTCTCTGGCCTTCCTGGTGTTGGGGTAACAGGTCTTAGGCATGCTCAGAGCCCGCCTATAAGATTAGGTCCCTATCAAAAATAGGCATTCTCCTGTTTAGTTGAAAAATCCCACTACATATCTCCAGAGTTTGGGCTTGAGTGAGGGCTGTGAAAAAGCCATTAGCTGTGGGGTCGGCCAAGGGGATTTAGGTGCCTGTGGAGTTAGGTGGCAGCTGAGCGGCAGCTTTGAAAATGACAGTGGCACCTAAAGGATGGACTTAGATGCCTAAGAAACTTTAAGGGACTGGGCCTAAATGACTTGACCAGCTTCACACCAGAAGTCTGTGGTGAAACCTGGAATTGAAGCCAGGTCCTCAAGTCTCAGGCTGGTCCCTAGCTCCGGGACCATCCTTCCTGTCCTTATATTGGAGAAGCACAATGAGGGGTCTGTGGTGGTTGCCAGGATATTCCACAGAGCCTGGTAACTGTGGAAGGACCTACCTGGCCCTCTGCTCCCTGTATTGCATCCCCTCCTGAAGATCCCGTCTCTATGCTGGACAAGGCCTGTATGAACTTTGCTGACAGTGGCACATGGGTTCTATGTAAGATAGTCGCAAGTCGTGTGCCAGTATCAGCAAAGTTCATACAGGCATTGGCCATGACAGAGACGGGGTCTTTGGGAGGGGAAGCAATGTGGAGTGAGGAGGGCCAAGCAGGTCCTTCCACAAAGCCCCTCCCCTGACAAGATCCAGGCTTATCCCACTGAAATTTCTCCGCAAGACACACCCTGGTGACCTGAATGTGCAGCTGCAGGTACTTTTGCCTCATTAACAGAGATAAGTGAAATTGCACAGTGTGGGTTATCACTGTGTCTCCCTTTGTGTAGGGGAGGCCTGCACATTGCCCTGAGGGACATTCTGGGCCCAGACAGCGCTGCTGGCCAATGAGGAGAGGATAAATTACCCTATCTTCTTCTCATCCCTCCCACTTTGAGGTGGTTTGCATCCCTGGAGTGCTAGGAGACAGCAATAAATGTGTGACAGCCGCCATCTTGGCTGATACACCCGCGATTGAACCGAAGAGCTGCAGAGCTAACAGCAGGGACCAAACCTCCGTTGTGCTACGCGCTGCAGAAACAGAAGAAAAAGAAGGAATCTTTAAGCCAAAGAGCTTCCAACCTATATAAAATACCGTTCCAGCCAGCATCCAGGTGGAGCAGAAGGGGTAGGTTCTGGCCTATAAATCCCAACACAGCCTGGATGATCCTACGTGGAAGACCACCACGCCCCTCCCCTCCCCCCCCCGTCGCCATTGCTGCTCCAGTCAGCATGGCCACTCGAGCTGCTGCTCCCTGGTATACTAGGGAATGAAGTGTTGCCAAGGCTTTTGCAGCTTTGGAATGCACTACCCACCTCCATCTGCAACAGCATGAATCTACAGGCCATCTGGGCATGCTGAAAAGCCCAGTTTCCTCAGCAGGCACTCAGGGAAGGAGCAGAGAGCTGGGGCTGGGGTTTCGTTAAGGAATATTGGGAGGCTGGAGATGGCTGGGGGTGATGGGGATTAGTTGAGGATCCTGGCGGGATATTGTTTGTGTAAGAAAGCAAAGGTAGAAAGCCTCTGTGGGGGGTGAGGGGCACAGGACTCTGGGACAGGTTTCACTGAAAGGATGCTGTACTTATCTCAAATATGTTAACACCGGAAAATATGTGCTTCGATCTTTTAATCCAGAATGGTGTGTCCATCTGTGCTGTGTTATTACTAACAGTTGGATGGGTTTGTAATTATGAATGATAGTCTTGCTGTTAGGATAATAGATTCAGCCTGTCGGTAGTTGACTTACCTGTGCTCTTCACTGACTAAATGGACTATCGCTCTTGTTCTGAAATCTGCATACCTTGAATTTGTGAATATAAAAATCACAGAGTTTTTGGTTTTTTTTGTTGTTTTTTTTTTGCAGATTCTGATGCTCAGGCCAACCCTATGGTGTGCTCGTTTTCTGGTGGTACTTGCAGACATCGTCACTGCAATAGTAATGAAGTGACAGGTGGACTGTGTTACCCAGGCATAGTGTGCTGTATAAAACCTTGAGTGGAGACTGCAGAACTCCAGACACAGAATTCAGAGCATCCAGACAAAATGTGTCCATACATATATATATCAAGCTGTTCTGAAATCATGTTCCTGTAATTAAAAACAATCCTTGAATTGGTAGCACTATGTGTGTGTGTGTGTGTGTGTGTGTGTGTGTGTGTGTGTGTGTGTGTGTGTGTGTGTGTGTGTGTGTGTGTGTTTCTTTCTCCAAGACAGGCTAATTTATAAGTCTGGGTTTTTGGGCTTTTTAGAAAATTGAGTAAATTCGCAAGTCTGGGTTTATCGGAGGCAGCCACATAGGGTCATCCCATGGAGAGAGATGTAGCCTATAGGGCTAGCCTGAATGATCTAATGTCTTTAATATGTATGTATATGTCACCAATGTGTACAAACATACTTGCCAATGGAGTAAATGTACCCTAAAAATTTGTGGGTGAGGAAACTAAATTTGGACATAGAAGGAGGGCTCAGGTACTCAAGCTCTATAAAAGGGGTGACCCACCATGCCAAGAAAGCATCTAAGTTTCTGTTTCAAGGGATTATAAGCTTCAAGCTTCACTTTTCCAGGCTTCTTTGTCTATTAGTCTGTTAGTTCTTAATTGTATGGTTTAAGTCCGTTAGTTAAGTAAAACGCTAAGTTAGATTCGATAGCTCTTTAGCTTCTCCTGAGCTCTGCACCTCACACTCAAGGATTGAGGAACCTGGACCTGAACTCTCTTGGCATGTCAGAGTGAGGCTGGTCCTTTGTCTCTTACCATCAGATTGTCAAGGAAGGGTGTGAGTATATTTGTCAAGGCTGATTCCCCACTCTGTCGCTCCGAGTGCAGAAGGTGGGGACCTGCAAGGATTCTAAAAAGTAATATTTGCCACTCCAGGCTTGTATTAAACTCCCAAGGTTACAACTTTTCTCTGATCTTGGCTTGGTAAACACTTCCACCACCTAAATGCAAAAAAAAACAAAAACAAAAAAAAACCCTTGGACCCAGGAAGGAGCACTTGGGAATTCCTCTCTTTGGGGATACCCTCAAGCCCTTTCACTCCCCCTCTAGGAAGAGCTGAGAAAGAAAACAAAGGAAATTAGCTGTGGCTATCAGCTAATCAAACAACATGCACAAACCTCTTAGGACACCAAAAATCCAATCCTGTTCTTTAAAAAGGTAAATTTTATTAAAAACAAAAAGAAAGAAAATACATCTGGAACTTAGGCTTTTACTAGATCTTAAAAGAGCAATTCAAAAAATCAAGCACCCAAAATAGCTTTATTGGGGGTTCAACTTACAGGTTACAAGCAAATGAAAGCATCCGGGGTTACCACAGAGGAGTCCACAAGCCAAAATAAGAAAAAACTTGATAGCGTCTAACTAAACGTTCCCTATCCAAATTATTTCTTCTAGGTATGGAAAATACTTTTTCATACCTGATTCAAACCTTACACCGCATTCCTGCTCTGTCCCTGCAGCCCAGAGAACAACAGACAAAGGTAGTATTTGAATCAAGCAGTTTTCTCACCCCACTAGATGTTACTGTTCTTAATACACAAGCTTCCCCTTTTAAGCCTGGGACCAGTCTCCTCTGCTGAAGTCTTTGTCTTCCCAGCATTCTTGTTGCTTCCTGCATAGTTGTGGGAGGAGAAAGGCAAAGGCATGTTGCCATTGTCCCTAATTTTATACACTCAGTTCAGGTGCCTGGAAAATACTAGCCAAGGTATGCCTGGTTGGCCTTGCTGAGTCACAGAGTTGAGCAGTCCCCTGGTGTGGTCTTGTGCAACTGAGTCATAGAGTTGTAAATCCCTTGTTTACTATTCCCCTGCTGGTCAATGCCCGCCCGGGAGGATTGGTCAACTCCTTTGTTGTTGTCACTGAAGAGCTAGCTTGGGCTACTCCCAAACTCACGACATAGTTCAATAACCAGCATGCAGCAAAATCTCATCACTTCATACATACTAATGATATACATATTTTGACATAGCAATGGGTTTCAGCAGATCATGACCTTTCCTATGATATCTTACATGGCATGTTTTGTATGAAATATCACAGCCATATATAAATGATGAATATGGGATTACAGGATGCTACTTTGAGGTACAGTGTTTCACAACATCACCTCTCTGTGACTCAGTTTTTCCATCTATAAAATGGGGATATTTATATTGACCTCCTTTGAAAAGTGCTTAGGGTCTACTGATGAAA